CAAGCTGGCTCGACGGACGTGCCAGTCTCAGTCAATCAAAGGAACGTCCTCGAGCTTTTAGGGAAACTTGATTGACATGTGCTCCGCTCCGGTACATCACCTCTTCAAGGGATGAATTTCTTTCTCACAGACACCATCGATTCCTGAGAGAATTCTGGTGTCAGGATCACCCCTTTACGCCTTCAAATGCTGGAACCACATAGGCTGTTCTTTAACGAACCTGTGCAGCCTCACGAAAAGTATGATGATAGTTTTGTAATATACTGCTCGGAGATAGCTATTAACTTTGACGATAGAGACATATGCATCTCAACTCAGGATCGGAGAACTTTTCCTACCGTGCTCAATTGTAAAAGTAATCGCCAGCTGCATAGTCAGGCCGAGGTTGACGGGGTCCCCGCATCCCGAAATCACCTCTCCAACTCCAGCTCCTCATCTCGTACATATTCAACGTCATCTATTCGCATCACTCGGCATCCTGACGACCTACATGCTTCAATTGTTTCAACAAGTCATGAGTACCCAAACCAATCCATAGACAATAGATTGATTACACTCTCTCGACCGCACCAATCTCCCCTTCACCTCCGCCACAGCGCACAACTCTCCCCTCTCCCGGAACAAATCAACACCACCACATCAGACCCAAAACACGCCGAAGATGCTCATAATCGGCCTAACCGGCTCCATCGCAACCGGCAAATCGACCGTCTCAACCCTCCTCTCCTCACCCCCCTACTCCCTCCCCATCATCGACGCAGACCTTCTCGCCCGCCAGGTCGTCGAACCAGGCACACCAGGCTACAAAGCGATAGTCAACTACTTCGGCCCCAGCACCCCCGATCTTCTCCTCCCCGCCTCGGCAGATGACCCAACCGGTTCGCGACGACCGCTGAACCGCCCCGCGCTCGGCCGGCGGGTGTTCGGGGCCAGCGAGGAGCGCAAGCGCGACCGCATGATACTCAACAAGATTGTTCACCCCGCGGTGCGGTGGGAGGTCTACAAGGCGCTTATGTACTATTACGTGCGCGGTCACTGGGCGGTTGTGCTTGATGTGCCGCTGTTGTTTGAGAGTGGGATGGATTTGATCTGTGGGACGGTGGTGGTGGTTGGGGTGAAGGATCCGGCGGTGCAGATGGCGCGGCTGCGCGCGCGCGATCCGCATTTATCGGCTGAGGATGCGGAGAACCGGGTGAGGAGTCAGGGGGATGTGCGCGGGAAGGTCGAGAAGGCTGAGTTCCGGGGAACCCGGTCGGCGAGGGGGGTTATTGTGTGGAATGATGGGGATAAGGCCGACTTGGAGAGGGAGGTGCGCAAGGCGATGGAGACGATCAGCGCATCAAGTCCGAAGTGGTGGGCGTGGGTTCTGTTGCTGGCGCCGCCGTTGGGAGTGGGCATTGCGGCTTGGAACATGGCTGTGAATTTTGCGACGCAGAAGAGCTGGCAGAAGAAAGAGAAGGAAGAGAAGGCCAAGTTGTGATCTAGAACGGGGTTTTGGTCAGCTCGTCTACACCAGTCATTGGTTTGTAAATGACTACGGGATTAGAAACAAGCCCGGCGAATTTGTGCGGCGTTCCAGAGGGAACTATAGACTCCTGTAACACAGACAGCTTGATTAAGCAAACGCATGTTTTGAGCAATCAGACTCTTGTTGGATTTTTGGGCTGGGTTCTCTTACAAGGCCCAAGATCGGTTTGAGATGAGCTGGTCTCTCCGAGTCTGGTCCTCTTGTTTGCTTTGGCAAACAACAGATTATTCTGAGGCGCATCTATTCTCTCCTTCGAACTGGCCATCATATAAGAACATAGCAAGCTCGAGCTAAACATATCTAATCTGCACCACAAAGTGGTGGATAATTCACAAAGGTCTTCCCTGCACCCGTCGCTGCCTTCTCGCTCCTATAGTTCAATTGGAATTGAGCTTCAGAGGTAGTCCCACAAAAGATGCCTTGCCCTTGTTTTAGTGGTTCGCATGTACTGCGTATGGAAGACCTTGAGACGGAGCAATCTCGCCTGGTTCGAGTGATGTCGCAAGTTGACGGGGCACGCTCAGCTTTGCCAGAGGACGTGCGCCCATTAGGTCTGGATGTCAACCGATCGGCCGATGGGGGTATGCGCATCGCAGCGTTATTTCCAACTTATCAAAAGAAATTTCAACCGATTGGAGACGGCAAAGGTCCAAATGCTCGAGTAAGGTGTTCGCTGTTGGGTAAAGACAAAACTAACCCTAGGAAAAGCAGGGGTTAATCTCAGATGAGGGTCTTACACCATTGCGGTCTCGTCCGTGTGGGAACTTGGAGAATTTCACAAGGTGCTCTCCGTACGACGCAACGAAGCCGTATATAGTGGAAATCATGCCAACGTTGCTGGAAAATGTGCAATTAGAAATGGGAATCCGTTCCGTTCCTTTCACTGCTTCGGATGACTCGAAGACTCGTGTCTATTGATCAAAATCAAGCTTTTATGCGGCAGTGAGGGTGTACCCATCAACCGCCAAAAATTCGAATAAGGACGAGCGAACCATTCCATGTGGAAGAGGCCAAGCCTCACAGAGCCATAGCGAAGGAGCTGTTTCCCTGAACACGGGACTATTGGAGGCAATTCAGACAGAAGAGCCAGATTCGACGTCTTTTGACCATGATTAGCGAGCCTTTCAGCACTGGGCGAGTTCATGTTCCTTTGAGCAGATAAACCGGAGATTCATCGTCAGGTGACCATTTATTTATGCTTGCGCTTCTTCTGCGATTTATTGTCACCGCCAAGAAAGCTATGACGACCTCCAGAAATACTTGTTAGTTGAGACAATCTCACAGGTCTGTGTCTCGCGTCTTGTTTCGCCTTGTTGATCATGGAATTGATTTGTTCCGGATCTGTCGGGTCTGCGCTAGCATCGGTATACTGTTGAAGCAATGTCAGCTACATATGCTCGTATTAGGACGAAGATATCACAAACCTCGATTTTGTTTTTGCGCTTGAAGTTTCCATAAGCCTGTCGACCACCGTACACCAGATCGTCATCGTCGGCGTCCAGAGAGTCCGCAGCGATGACAAGAGGTTGTGCCGCATACTCATTGCCCGTATCTTCCGCGCCAGAGTAGTCGAGCACCCATTCGGTTTCGCCAGCATCTGCAGCTTGCCTGGCGATGGCTTCCCTTCGCTTTTCTTCCTCGGCCGCAATAGCAGCCGAGATAGCTTCTAGATCTGACGATTGTGTTGCACCGGGACTCTGCGATATGCCCTCACTGGAAAGTCTTGGTCGCTTTGGTGTTGGAGTGGTGGGCTCTTCGGCGGAGGAAGTCTGTGGTGTTTCTTTGCTTGCAGCGGTGGCAGCAGCTCGTTGCATGAACTACAGCACTTGGTCAGTCCGATCGCGAGACAAACTGAAGAGGCGAATAATTGTTTTGGCATACCTTCATAGTTAGTAAACGTGACGACATGGTTTTTTCTGGCTTAGAGCCAGAGGACGTAGATGGAGGCATGATCACGCTATTTAATGAACGAGGGGGGAAATATCATAAACAAAGAAGTCGTGAATCTGACAGCTGAGAGCCAGTATTTGGTTCAATTCCTAACCTTGGCTGGACAAGTAAGACCTTCCCAAACAGAAACAACAACGACATTAAAAACAGTGACCGAAACGGGCAAGAAATTATTTCATCGCGAGCGGCAGAATTTCGCCGTAACAGCCGCAGGAGCGGCTCCGATTGGTCAAACAAGCGGCCGCGCGAGCTCCCGCAAACCTCACCCTTCATCCCGGCTCCAACCTCCCTCCGCCCTCTCCCGCCCAATACACACCTTTCCTTTGTGCCACCAGGGACCTCGATTGCCCAGCATGCTGTCCTGTGCTCGAAGCCGCGTCGCGGCCTTTTCCACGGCGTGGACTCCCCGCTTCGTCGCCCGGGCCAGCTACTCGACCACCGTGCCTCGCTTGTCGGAGAACCGTATGCAAGCCAACGACCCGACCCCGCCAACTCCCAAGCCCAATGTCTCTGCCTCCAATGCCACCCCTACGGACTCGCAGGGTGTATGGGATGCTCCTCTGCGCGAGGAGACCGAGACCGGCGAGCGTAACCGCCAGCTTCAGGCCCCCAACCGTGCCACTACATGGGCCGACAGCCAGCAGCCTCGGGAAAAGGCCATGACCGGTCCTCGTTTTGAGCAGACCATTATGGAGTTTCAGGTGTGTAGTGGAACTTGCTGAGCAGGAACTCACGGGAGTAGTTCCGGGATATGAAGAAGGGTCAACGCATGGAATATATATCTAACATAGATCCCTCTAGCCTCAACCCATGGCCGCCATCGAGCTTATCCACAAGCAGCCCGTGCGCTGGACCAAGAAGAGAATTGTCAGCTGTGACGGAGGCGGCGGCCCATTGGGTCACCCCCGTATTTTCATTAACACTGACAAGCCCGAGATTGCTACCTGCGGCTACTGCGGTCTTCCTTTTGTAAGTTCTTCCTCTGGATTCGGAGCGTGGTAATGCTGACAAAGGATCTTTAGGCCCACGAGCAGCACCGTGCATACCTCAAGTCTCTCCCCGCTACCAGCTACCCCCTCGAACCCACCGGTGATGCCGCTCAGGTGAACGAGACGCAACGTGTTACCGAAGGTGGATTCGAGCAGCGGTAGAGGAATGGTTGTTTTCATTGTTGGCGTTGATGAATTGTTTTGATACTATTTAGCCCTTGCCGGGCTCATGTACAGATTTGTACCAGATCAATGAACTGCTAGATTCAGCTTCTTCCACTTAGAGGTGACGGGCATAAGCCTGTATCCTACACTCCTTGATTTATATGCGGCTATGATATATACAACAAGCATACATTTACTATCCAGAAAAGACATGTCACGACTAGCGTCCATGCTTCCGAATGAGCCCACAGCATCCACTAATAAACTTAGCGACTCTCGTAGGCTGTCACCAGCAGCTCAACCATCGCAGGACATCATCTCAAAAGCAATCACAGACGCCCCCGAGCACCACCCTCCCCTCCATCAAGTCACGCCTTCTCACCCTGAATCGTCGCAACAACCTTGCGCGTGTGCCGACTCGTCCGAAACTCCAAATACCAAATCCCCTGCCACGTACCCGTCGCCAACCGCCCGTTCGAGATGGGAATATTCACCGAAGCCCCAACAAGAGCGGACTTGATATGAGCCTGCCGCATTCATCAGTGTCAGCCATCTCCAAACCCCACAACGCAATCCACGAAGAAACGACAAAACGACACATAACATACCGGCATATCATCCTCCCCCTCAGCCGAATGCCGGTAGAGATTCCCCTTCCGATCCGCCGGCGCAATGCGGTCCAGTGCATCGCTCATGTCGGCGCGCACATCCTCGTCCCAGTTCTCGTTCAGCGAGAGCGCGCAGCTGGTGTGCTGCACGAACAGGTTGAGCATGCCGACTTTGTAGGTGCGGAGTTCGGGGAGTTGGGAGAGGACTTCGTCGGTTATGAGGTAGGAGCCGCGGGAGCGAGGGGGGAGGGTGAATGTTTTTTGGAACCAGGACATTTTCGTGGGTGAGGTTGGGGGTTGAGGTTGTAGCTGGTGGTTGATGCTGTTAGTTGGTGGATTTCTGTTCGTGGGATGTTGTTGCGGGGTTGCTTGAAATGAGGGTGAAATGGGTGGTAGGTTGTGCTTGATAGCCAGGAATTCGATGATTGACGGGTCTTGGGAATCCAATTGACCTACGTTTGTGAGGTATGAGATTTGTACAGCCACTGAGTAAAACGTTTGCTGGAATTAACTGGTTTGTTTTGCGAGTTGCGACGGTGGGGAATCTTGGGCATCGACGTCATCCGGCTCAAGTCATACTACGAGGTTGATTCTCCCACTGCTATTGTCGATGCTGTTGATTGCTCAGTTCGCACCTTACGGCACCAATGCATTATGATCTATACTCCTTGAGACTGATTGTGCATAGATGGATAGTTGGTCTCCGACTCAATCCTAGCCGCCAACCTCATGCAGACTCTTTCTATTATCTTCATGGCGCAGAGCACACACTTGCATGTACAGAAGGAGGGTTGCTAGATGCATCGCCCCAATTCGCAGACCCGAGAGCTTTGCCAGCGACTGTGGTATCGTCCGACAGAATCTGATCCTTGTCAGCAAACTCCGAACTTGTCACGGAAGAGCAGACGAAGAACTCACATAATAGCTCTTGTCAACATAATACCACCAGTCATCGCTGCGAAAGGCATTATCCGTTGACTGGCTGATGGGATCGTTCCAGCCGGTATTGCGGTCATCGAAATGAGCGTGCTTAGACCAAGCAACATAGACCTTTGGATGGTCATTATTCTGCACGCCATTCGGATTTTTGGCGTCCCCCGCAGTGATCTCGTCGGTGGTAAGCGTGTTCTGGATATCTGCCCATGCCAGGTCATGGTAGCCACTGTGCGCAGAGAGAAGGGCACGGGACGGTGCCCACATGTTGCTTGCGTCTCTCGAGTGGATGATGATCACTCTCTCCCAGTCACTAGACACCTATTAACTCTTCCGATTGATCCTTTCAAGAATTCAATATACTCACTAATCATGACCAGTTTCGATACCAATGACCTCAGCACCATCCTTCTCATAGAACAGGTTATACACCACCCGCACCTCGGTGTCACTACACCTCTTGTAGGTGAAGTATATTGGGAACGCTGGTCCGCGGTTGCCGATCCCCACGCCAGGGTTGCGGCATTTACATCCGACATTGGGATATTGACACTGCGGCGCGGCTGGTGTTTTGTGAGCATCGTCGTAGATATCAGGCGAGGCGGGAGAGCCCCCAAAGGCCCATGTAGGATAGCATGGAGGCTGATTCTGGGCTTGACCGAAAAACCACAGCGGGGCGTAACGGTCCGCCAGTTCAATGCCTCCTTGATTCAGCAGATTGCTCATCTCATTGTCTGTGATTTGGGTGACAGCTGCTGCCAACCTGGCTGTCAGTGCAGCAAGACTGATGAAATGAAGTTTCGACCACATGGTATAAAGAAGGTTGAACAGTTTTTCTAGAAGTGGTCCACGGTTGCTGTTCAGGATGAGGAGTATCCACCAAATCTCATTTTTGCTAAGGAAATGTCCTCTCTTAAATTCTACAATGGCGAGGAGCAGAGCCGATAGGAGAAGGTAACATCGTGTTGATGACCACAGATTGAACGGCTCGCGTTACATTTCAAGGTTCTACAATATGTCAAAGGAATTACCCTAGTTAGCTTAATGAGGAACGTACCAAGAGCAAATGACCAGATTGGCTGATGGATGGCAGCTGAAGGGAATCAGAACGGCCCATCATGCTTCTTGTCTCAACTGTCAAGCCGAATGATCAGTGATAGTGTCGATCACAAGCCCAATTGGGGGCCATTTCTAGGACCAGTTTCCCAATGCAGTCCAAAGCTCCGAGTGACACTGTGACAGATGGTGTCTTCCACTAGCATTTAAATGGGCAAGCAGATTATGTTCTTAGAGGAACATGCTCTCGTCAATGCCGTTCATTGGCTTCTGGGCTTGAGGGTAGCAGACCGCGCGGATGGATGTATAGATACAGACACGAACTATCTTGAAGATATCATTCAGGAAAAATCTAGGAGTAGATACTGTACAGAGATTGAAATAAGGTACGCAATATGTACGTCCTCATGCCGATTTCTTTTTACCATAGTCATCCAGCAGCTCACTATCTTCATCCATTCCTGACCATTTAGTCTTGCCATCTAGAATATCTATGCAACGTTTGCCGTAGAAAATATGACAACTGCGTGATGAAGTCAGCCAGGAATTTCTGATTGCAAATATTCCATTGTTGAGAAGTGATGACATACTCAGGTGCGAAAGCCTCCCTCCACTTTTGGCGGTCCTCCTCTGAATCACCAGCGACAATGGATTCTGGGAAAATGAGGCATACATTTCGTCCTTCGTCCATGAGGGGAGTCCGACAGAATGAACATGATACTTTTGTCGGGACCTCGTATTCTCTCGTACTGTGAGCGGAAGAATAGAACGAGAGACCAGCGGCTCCCTTGTCGAACGTTAAATCAGACTTGTGGAATATTGCAGCCCATTGGAAAGGAGCTCCTGCAAACTAGTCAGTGTCTCCCGATGTTCTAGAGATCGCATGAGCTATATGCCATCGTTTGACTCACCATGCATGACTTGGCAACCTCGACAATGACAGTACTTGGCCTTGAGCGGCTTGTCTCGACTAATCTTATAGGAGACTTGACCACACTGGCATTTTGCTTGCCACTTTGCCGGACCAAATTCCTCTGGCGATTGAATCAGATATGGTGGACGGTGCTTCCATTGCTCGTCGTCCATGGTATGCTCAGATGGTTTGCTGGTGGCATTGGGTTTGGGGAGTGGCGATCCCCCATTTGGCATTTCGTCTGCCATTTTTGAAAATGGCCTGAGCTGTGGACGATGCTTTGACGCGGTCTGAGCAGATTTGGTCAGGTAAACCCGCTTGATTGTCTGTTGATGCTTCGCCGGGCGAATTGTAGTTGAGAGTGACCAGTTGGTGGCACAACGAGCGGTTGCGAATCTTGCGGAGAGCATGAATGAACGCCTTCTAGAAAGAACAATGTTCACACTGAAATCTCCTAGCTGCATGCGACTCTCTTGGATCTGGCTTATATACCATGGACAATCAGGTATTTCGTCGCATTTCTTGAATGCATTCATTCATGATGCCATGACATCATGACGATGTCAGGCAAAATTGATACTGGACAGACATTCTTTGACTTCCCTGATTGACTGCTGAAGGCTTCAGGGACATCCATGGATATAGAACAAGCTTCCCCAGAATCGAATCGGGAGTTTCTTGATTCCTGCAGTTTCGAATCCAATCTGACCTCATAGAGAGAGTCTGGCCAACTGGAGACGACCAGGTCACTTGAGCATAGGAGTTCACTCGATGATCAAAGTAGCAGCCATAACTAATTATGATGATGAATGATCCAATTGCTTTGATAATCGACAGCTCCTGCGACACTTTCAAGGTGCTTGTGAGGATATTGGTGCGATTATCTAGATCCTGATCGTTGCTCACGAGTCTGAGTGCTTCATTGATCAGCAGCTCAATTATTCAGTCAAATTATTAATCCAAGAGTTCCGGATCATCTCGAGATAACATAGTCACGACTATCTTTTTCGAAAACACAGTTCAAAGGCTGAAACATTGTTCATTTGCATCCCCACTGGTTTAAGACTGATCCACAGCATGAAACACCCGCCCGCGTTTCGTACAAAGTTCCTAGCTTGGCAATCGGCATCACGTTTGAATGTTTGATTGAGACTTGAAAAAGCTGCTGGATTCCCTGCGCATGTCAAACGATTGACCATTAGTTGACATCGACATCGACATCGCCATGGACATACTCATGCGCGGCAATTTCCTTTTAGGATACCGACCTGTTGATAGGACTGATAAAAATAGACAGGCTCAAAAAGGGACATCACAATCACAATCCTTCATTCCTCCATTCAAGACCAGCCAAATAGCCAAGACCCGGGACAAAGAAGCCTCCAGCGCGTGTCCATCGTTCTTGGTCCCAATCACCGGCTGATCCTCCTTTTTGTCTGTCATACTCCGTGGTCGAAACTCAATGGAAATGAACCAAAGTTTTGACGGATAAAGGCATCAAAAAGGGCTACTTACCTTTCTGCTTTCCAACTGTCCCATCCAAGTCACTAGGACTAAGTGCATGTCCCAATCATAATCGACTGTCGCTCGCAGCCTCGCTTATCCTCTAGTTTGATGATCCTCCGGCCCCCTCCTTCTTCTCCATTTAATTTCCAGTTGATCACTCTTCGAATCTCGCCCCCCTTGATGATTCTATAACCCGACTATTCTTATCAATGTCTTGTTCCTCCCACTCCGCAGACTGCCTGTAGCAATAATACCAGTCTCATTATGGGCTTGTTTGACCGGCTTCGACGGCGTTCCAAGAGCCACAGCCGTGCGGGGAATGCGGCCAGCTATGAACACCTCCGCATCTCTCCCGATCACAGTGTCCCTCCAGTTCCCGCGTTAAGGCGAGACTTCACCAAGAACCTCCCTCCTCCGGTTCTGGCGCGAATCTTTGCTTTTGTTTGTCCCCATGCAGCGGACAGCAGCTATGCGACTTCGGAGGAGTCCATGACCGAGGATGGCTGCATGCTCTGCGACATGCGCGACCTAGCACACTGTGCTCTGGTGTGCAAGCGATGGTATCTGGCTGCTCGAGGTGTACTGTAAGCTGTTCTCTGCTCTGCTCTGCTCTTCTTTTTGTGTCGTTTGATCCGTAGCTCATTTGGATCTCGATACACAGGTACTCCCACGTCCGCATCGATGCCGTCCACTACTGCGAACTCGAAGTCCAATTGGCAGCCAGGCGAAAGCGCCGTTCCTTCTTTGACCGCAATGGCGACCCCATTGATGCACCCCAGGCCCGTTTGGAGTTATTCATGCGCTCAGTCCGACATTCACATGAGCTGGGAAACATGGTCTTGTCTCTGCGAATGCCATACATGACCCGTGAAGCAAACAAGGCGGGTATAGCGCGAACGATCTCGGTGTGTCCCAACCTGCGATACGTCGACTTGCCGGCTGGACTATACAGCGATGATCCGTCGTGTCTTGCCCTGAAGCAAGAACTCATGGCTCGTTGTCCCGATATACGCCGCATGACCTATCGCCATGGGTCCGAAGGAAGCTTCTCCCAGTTGCCTGGATCACGTTTGTGGATGAACTTGGAAATCTTGGAGTTGTCGCGAGTCCAAATCGAGCCGAGCATTCTTCGCTTTGGTCTGGGCGCTTTCCCCTACCTGCGTGAATTGACGTTGGAAGACCTGCCTTGGCTTGACGATTCCGCTTTTGTAGCTTCTCAATCACTACCTCCATTTCCGGCCGTCCAACGGCTTACACTTCGAGATACCCCGAAGGTCACGGCAAGCGGGCTTGCCGCGTTCTTCTCCCTTCCTGTGAATCGCAAATCATTACATTATCTGACTTTGTCGGCTACCGGAGTGCTTCCACCCGCCCTGTATCAAATTCTAGCTTCGGCGCCATGTCTGCAAGGACTTTTGGTCATTCAAGAAGTATCCCGATCCTTTCCCACGGAACAGGTACCACCGTTGGCGTCGACGTCGCTCAACATGCTGCACTATGAGATCACTTCTTCGAGTACATCTTACGGTCTACCACCTGTTGCAGCGTCATACTATACCTACTTGATCTCTTCTCTAATGTCAAACTGTCTTCCAGCTTTACGCGATCTGTATGTCCGCGACGCCAGCTTCCCAGAAGCGCTGTTACTTGCACCTCCGCCTCGACTCTTCGGAGGTGGTGAAAACGGCCCGCAAATCCCTGCTGGCGGTCTCTCGCAGCCCCTCAATGTGTACAGCAAAGGCTTGGACGAACTGGAATGGAACTTTACTCCATACGAGCCGCCTCAGACGCGCGGCCGGCGGGACAGCTCAACTCGTCCGGTGAGCTTCCATGATGCGCAATTGAGTCGAACTTGGGGAGGAGATGCAAGGAAGAGTGTGCTCGTCGGAAATGGATTCGGCGGATTTCTCGCCGTACCCGTTGATGAAGATCGTCCAAAGAGTAGTGGAGGCTGGAGACGTCAAAGCCGGCAAGACTTATGGCGGTGATTCTGCTAAACCTTCCGAGGGGACATGGCCGTGTGATATAGGTGATATATGACGAAAAAAGGAATAATGGCATAATGATATACCCTGAACTGCTGCATCGTGGACCTGCATATAGATGGCACGTTTCCTCGCTCCCTTTTCCAGAAGTGCCTGGGCGACACAACTTGAGCTACACGGGAATCCTCTTGGACTCATGACAGTGACACTCCTCTTGGGCGGAGAATTTGCATTAAAAATTGTTCTGAGCGGTTGTTACAATGCGTGGGTTTGATCTTGAGGTACCCGAAGGTTGAACAACCTCCTTCCATTTATGGTACCCAAATAGACTTCATCCTGGTTCGCTTCATAGACTCCCTTCGTATCACCGACATCCCCTCATTAACCTTTTACCTTGGTATCCCAATATCAACACGATCGTTCACCATGATTCCCCCCTTTTGTTGGAACAGTCAGTATTAGACACAAACGCTGCGATCTCGGACCCCATCCTCCGTCTTGAGAGAAGCTAGGCGATGGCTGCAGCCATTTCAGACAATGAGGATCCTCTGGACGGGATGAATGGCGAGGAGGATCCATCAGAGCTCGAGGCCGCTGCAGGAGCCCATCGCAGAAACGAGATGTCATCCTCCATCGCAACGTGAGTTCCCCGGATGCCACAAATTCTATAGATCTACTAACGAGATCTGTCGAAACAGTCTGAGAGCGAACCCCAAGTATAGCGACTTCCTGATTCTTTGCGGCGATCATATCTTTCCAGCCCATAAAGCGATTATCTGCTCGCAGTCCGAGTTTTTCGCCAAAGTGTTTGACTCGCATTTCTCCGTTGGTTCTCGACTTGCTGCCTTGTCGCTAACGAGCCTTCTGACCGAGATATTGCAGGAAGCCTGCACGGGGCGAATCAGGCTCCCTGACCATCCGCTGATCGTGCTTCTGCTGCTCGATTACCTCTATACAAGCGATTATACCTTCTATCTGGATTATGATTTTGCTCCATCGTTCTTGGCTGAAGGACAAAGTCCACCAGGCGATCTTGTCGGTCAGTCCAAAACAAATTGCTGAAGCAGGTACATTCCTAATATTGCGGGGGCTATAGATCGTCTCCACTGCTGCGAGCTCTCTGTTCATATACACATGTTTCTCCTCGCGGATCGCCTTCTTATCAGAGGATTGAAAAACCTGGCCAAGCAGAAGTTTGCGGACATTCTCAGAAAAGCTTCGTTTCCAACTGTATATCCTCGTGCCGTCAGGGAAGTCTATACAATGACTTCGATACACCATCAGCTTTTGCGCAAGGTAGTCGTCGATTTCGCGGTGGAGGTCTTACATAGCGATAGCGAGAGGGGCCACTTTGATCCCAACTTCCCGAGGCATATTCTTGAGGAGCTTCCGGAGTTCGCACAGGACGTGACGGCTAAGCTTGTTGATGAATGGGTGGAAGATGAGAAGTGTAGGGCTTCCGAAATGATGCAAATCGCGGAATACTTTCGGCTTTGTTAGTGGATGGGATTAGGCGCAGTTCTGGGTATGAGCATGATGGCATCGCATGGAATACGATTGTTGCAGAGCAGGTTGTTGGGACTTTTCCACTTCATAGCACGTTGTCTGGAGACTTTGAACTCTTTTGAGCGTCGATATTGCATTGGATAGATAACATTCGCTTGTTGTTCGAGTCTTACACGGAGTCACTTCATGATAATCTAGAGTGGACTAGGTGGTTGATGACGAGTGTTCACTGGACATCCTCGAGATGAAGCGCCGGATACTGGCTGGAGGAGATCCTACCATTTAGCATGCCCTCCCCACAACCAACGCAGCAATATCATGGCTCTCCAATTGCACACGGTACTGATCTCTCACACAGCCCAAATCCTTCCCGGTCCAGGCATCCGTCACACGAAATCCAGGGCGCCGTCTCCCCTGCCTCCTGAGAACATCTTTCAGCTCAGGAACCTCCTTCCACACAGCCGTACGCGTCTGCTTAGTATCTTCCGAATTCAACATCAGCACCAGCGTGCCGCCCAGCGTCGACGACGCGCCGGACCAGTACTCTGCCGGATGAGCAGGGTCAAACGTCCAGTTAGGATTATACCCCCATTTGTACGGGTGCGCGGGGCGGCCGACCACCGGGTCCTGATGGAACGCCAGGAGGTGCTTATTTGAGAGGATGGCGAGGTGGGCCGGGTCGATAGAGTCGAGCTAGGGATCGAGTCAGTAAATGTCCACTACCTCGACGGATTGCAAAGCCAAACGCACAGCAGTCCCGATGATCAGGGGCGACTTCATCGCAGCCCAGAGCGCAAAATGCGCTCTGTTCTCTGCCAGTGTGAGATCGCCGTTGCCGACCTCCAGCATGTCCGGGTCCGGATGGCCCCAGAAATCGACGTAGTTCATCAGGAAGGAGTTCTCGTTGGCGATGGCGGCGATGCGGGCCCAGGATGCTGAGTTTGTCAGTTAGATCATAGATAGCTACAAGTATTGAAGACAGGTTGAGGGTGGAGGTGGAGGTGGAGGTGTGTAAGGCTTACGCGTGATATCCCCCGACATTCGCCAGGAGTTACCTGTTTCGTTGCCCCAGGCGTTCACGTCCGCTTGGCCCCAGTCACACAGCGAGTACAGGATCGTGCGGTCGACGCCGACCAACGCATCGCGCATCCGCCTGTACCGCTCAGCTGTCAGCGACGTGCGCCAGTCGTAGCCCGCTGGCGCGGGATTCTTGTTATCGGGACAGGTCCCGTTGGTGGCTGTACTGCCCGGGTCCGGGACGCAGTAGGTGTACGCGTCGGTCCAGTTCGAGGGGACGCCGCAGTTATCGTACTTGAGGTCTGATTGAGCGGGGATGGTTAGCTGGGGAGGGG